TAATAATAAAATAGAGCAAGATAGCCTCTGAATTTCAGATTTGATTAAGCTATAATTTTGACTATAAGTTTACCGGGTATTATCGGGCCTGATCGGGCTTTTTTATGAAGCCCGAGCCCAGCCCGATATTTAACAAGCCTGATTTGTGCCCGGCCTGAACAGTAACGGGTTCAAAAATTATGGGCCCGAACTGGACCAAAACCCGGCCCGGTCCGCAAATTTCCGGGCTTAGCCCGGCCCGTTCCGCACTCTACTTCTACTCTTTTAAAGCTTACAGATCTTTGTAATATATTCTGTTACTTCTCATATTTTATTCTTTTTGGCATTATTGATCTTCCAATACTAGATAGCCCAAAAGAATTGGTTTGCTTAGATCCAAGTTTCTGAGGTTTGAGTTTAAAGGTTTTCTGATCCTTGGTTTATATTTTAATAGCATGTGACTTTTTTTTTCAGAATCTTATTCTAGGATCTTCTACTAATCACTTAGTTATAAATATAACTAAAAAATATACAACTAGCATAGCTTTGGTGACTTGGCAGTCTAGTTGGTAAATACCTTTTGTCTAAAGAATTTGTGTTATACAAATTCTCCAATTTTTGGGTTTAGTTGAATATATTTTGTAGTATCAAATAGTACTAGATTAGTTCTAATTTGCTACTTCCTTAATTAGAATTTGCCAAGCTAGTTTTAGTTTTCTCAAACTACTATCCCTTAAACCGTCAGGTTTAGCATACAAATTTGTATGCTAAAATATTTTGAAACAAATTGAGCTTGAAAAAATTTTTTTCTATGATTTTTTATTCTAATTGGTTGTAGTGATTCTTCAAGACCCAAGTTACATAGCATACCTGTAGCTACGGTGTGAAATACTTTATATAACCTGATTTGAAGATATAAATTTACATAATAGCTAAAAATGGGTTATTTTAACTATACTTTTGAGCCACCATATCTCTTTAACATCGCCACAAAAATCAATTATATTAAGTTGATTATAAAAAATCTTTAATCAACTTTAAAGTTATATTATAAAAGGAAACTCTACATAATGATTATAAAAAATCTTTATAAGTATCACATGAAATTGCCTTTTTTAGTATTAAATTTGGGCACAAAGATCCTATTGTGATCGACACTATATAACTGATTTTTGAAGCTTTGATAAAAAAATATATGAAATAAGAATTATATAGTAATTTGAACGTGGTGTGCTTTCATTTTAGCTTAGAAAATAGAGGAGTGTGGTCTAATAAAATTTTGAGTAAATGCACAAAAACAGACCAAAAATCATTTTAGTGTACAAATTTGTACGCTAGACGGTTTAAGGGATAAGTAAATAAGGCTTATTATAAATTTGCACTGCCTATACTGGTTTGTATTTTTTTGTGCAATAATACAAATACTTCTATATTTTCTAGCATATATGAGGCATTGGTATACTCTAGTTTACAGGTATAAAACTTAGCTTAATTTAGAATAAGCTATTACTATAATACAAGTAAATTGTTCAAAATGTCACTAGTAGAATTTGAACTCAATACTATAGCCAAACTACTGTAAACTGCCATATACAAGACCCTTAAATATCAGACCCCCTATGTATTATACCTGGGTCTATAGTATAGAACAGAATTTTGGTAAATGTAAAAAACCTGGATATACAAACAAGAATAAAATATTAGAAAACCCAGGTCTACAAATAGAAATAAATATTAGATAAAAGACCTAGATATGATACTTTACCAAATAGGTCTCATGATTCGTTATAGTTATATAAAAAATAAATTTGCACAAGTTACATGGTCTTCGGTAATGTATAACTGTGCTAATAAGTAAATAAAAAAGCACGGGTTGTTATATAAGACCTGTGCAATAAATCACATTATTAACTTATTGGTAGCACGCTAATTTCTTATTTAACTACATATCAAGAACTTATCGTTATACATTTTAGATATAACTTTCAGAATGCTAAACGGCCTCATAGCTAAGATGCAAACAAGCCATACTGGAATGGTTTTACAGAAGTAAAGTAAAGGGAGAGCTTATAGCCATTTTGGCTTGCAATTTCTTGTCTATATTAACTATAGATCTTTTTCTTTACATTTTATAGAATTACTTAGTAAACTATGTACTTATTAAGGGTTCTATTTGATAGTAAAATATGATTTGAGTATCATATATATGTATAGTTAGAGTTTTATTAACAAGATACTATATTTATTAGATTAAAACTGGATATTATAATATAGTTTTACAATATGTGAATAGCAAGATTGGTGAGAGCAACCAAAATAAATTTACAAGTTTACAATGAATGATAAGATTAAGTTACTTTATATTAATTATACTTTGATATTTATTATACAATAAATTGTTCCACAATTATTTAATACCAACATTGTTTTCAACAACTTATTTAATACTGCAATTATTCTTTATATTTGTTTACCATGTGATAAATCAAAATCTATCATTATTTTTGACTATATCATATTTATTCTACTTATTAATGTTCTATTTTTTTGTTGGCTATATTGATTACATTTTCCATTATTTGGGCGAATGAGTTTTTTCTTAGTCTCACATAAAAACATATTTAGTTATTCTATTGTTATAATATAAATCATCGTCATGACTTTCTTGGCTATCCGAATTAAATTATTTATCTAAAATATCTAAATAATTAATTTATACTTCTTAAATTTTTTTTTTTAAAAAAGATTTTTTTTACTCTATCTTCATTTTCCTTCCAAATATTGTAATTTTCATTCTCATTTTCACTGTTATTATTTCTATCATCATATTCATTTTCACTTTTATCACTTCTATCTTCTTTATTATATTCATTTCTACTTTCAACACTTTCATCAAGGTTACTATTATTGTCACCATTATTGTCTTGAGTCAAATCAACAATGTTTTCATTTTCACTTGCATTATTCATATTACTGGTAGTATATATATAACTATCACCACCTTCATTTTGACATTCTGAATTAGCAACCCAATTATAATTAAATATTATATTCTCTTCGAATCTATTCTAAGCAGTAGATATACCACAGCACTTAAATGACCATTTGATAAGGGCAGAGTCAACATAATTCTATGCTACTTTTACCTATCTGGCAATCAAATTATAGGCAGGTCGTTGAATATGACCTGTAGGTATTAATTTTTTAATTTCTTCTCCCATCCAGTTAAGATAGTGCTTACAATACTTGAATTAAAAAAAAAAAGTATTGTTACAGCTAATATCAAATTTAGTTAAAGTTAAAACTAATAAACTAATAATTAACAAATATTATTAACCAATTAGATATTAGTTTTAACTTTAACTAAATTTTAATATTAATCATGACAATTATTACATAATTATTACATAATGTACAATTATTTTTAAAACAATTACATATGTACTAATATTAGCTTACCTCCTCTTTGAATGATTTATTAATATATACATCTAATGGTTGCAATTTTTTGGTGAGTCTACCTGAAATAACTGCAATGTTAGTATTTTTTTTCTTTAAATCAATTTTTAACTGGATCTGTCAGATGGCCACAGAATCCATCTAAAACGAGAATCAACTGATAAAGGAGCTTGATGTTTCCAAATATTTTCGATCTAAAATATCATTTTATTAAAATTCATATATCCTTCTGGATTAGTTTATACAACAATATCTGGTGGAAATGTTTGCTGTGGTACTTTTACTAGTTTAAAAATTACTATTGGAGACAATTTAGTGACATTAGCTAAGCAACCTAAAACAACTATAAAATTAGACTTCTCATATCTAGTAGTACAAATTCCAACTATATGTGCATCAGTTTCTTTGATTGTATAGTTGCTGAGCATGTCGAATGCTAATAGCGTCTTATTTATATTTCCAATAAGAGAAAGTAAATAATTATAAATCATTCGATAGTATAGCACATTACTTAAAAATGCATCTCTTAGTGGTTCTAGATCTTCTGGCAGTTTTTGTGCTACAGTAGTATGACATCTTTTGTTTAAATTATTCCGGCGCATAAAACCTTCTAACCATCTATCACTCCACTTGCATGCAGTAAACGTAGAGTAAAACAAGATTGTCTTGCAAGTTGTGATGCTTTAGTTTTAGCCATATTTCGAGAGACAAGCTTTTGTTTTGAACATAAAGATTTGATCCAAGCCAAAAGATCAACTTCTAAAAGTAAAAATTTAAAATGAGCACCAATATTTAACTGTTTAATAGTAGGTGAGACTCTTTTAAATTCTTTTTTTTTTTGATCCATTCACGTAACTGGTTTGGTGCTATATTAAATTTTTGAGCAATATCCTGTTTGCTAGCCATAGAATTTTTTTCAAAGTATGTAATAATTGCTAATTTCTCTCACATGTTCCAGCTTCTTTTTTTTGTTGTAACTTTTGCTTGTTTCTGAGTTTTTTTATGATGCTCTATATTTACTTATTTATAATATATGTTAAATTCATTTTATTGTTATTAACTTTAAATAAAATAAAAAATTCTTACTTTTATGTTTTGGTTGGAAAACTTGTTCTATCCAGGATAAGACAAAAATGTAAAACACGATTAAAAATTTTTTTTTATATATAACAAATAATAAAATAATTGTGCATATGTATTTTATATTAATAAGTTAATTAGAGGTAATGTTTGATCTCATAATCATATCTTAAATAAATTATATGAATGTCTATGCTATTCATTCAATTTCCAAGTTCGTAAAAGATTTTTTATAATGCTAGTTCTGTAACAGTAATTTTTTTTTTTAAATTCATAGTTTACATTTTTTTTAATTTATTAATATATAGTTGTATACGTTTTTTCTTTTTAATTTCTTTGCCATTACTAAGAGTTTTCACTTTTAATTTCTAAATAACTAAAAGCCCAAGTTCTTGACTAATTTAAATTACATATGTATAAGTGCATTTTATGTAGTTAATTTTATAAAATTCAATTTTACAGTTTAGATATTTAAAAATAAATTGGTGATGTTACATGATTTTAATGAATTGGTCACGTTATTAATTACTTTATTGTTCTTTGCTTATTATTTTATTGAAGAAATTGACCCTTTGCTTATTGAGATTGATAATTTAGAAAATTTATTTTCAGTACACCACTATGTATGTAGTTTATGCATTATCTCTATATAGAAATAGAGATTTTTAAATTTCTCACATCGTATGTACATATGTAACAATTTTAATTAGCAAAAAGGTCCCATTTAGGGACTTTTAACTCACCTGATAAAATTAATTATGAAGCTTTATACTTGAAATATCAGAATCTGAAATTTCTATTGAGAAATTTCGAAACCTTCTTTGTTTTGCATACTGTATAATCATCATATAGTTATATACTACCAGTACTATCTTTTGTATGATTTTAGACTGCCAAAACTTTTTGTATATTGTTTAATAGTAAAAAAAAGAAGACTTCAAATACAAGATATTAAAATTTCATGCAATAAAGTAGATATTAGAATAGTATAATTTTAAGTATTGCTGTATTGGTTTTTTATTTCTGCATTATTGATAAGATTTTATAGTCCAAAACGGTGATTTTATTAGGGATAATAAAATTGGTATATAGAAAGTTTATTTATTAAAATTAATTTATTAAAGAATTTATATGTTAGATATGCAATATACGTATGTATTAAACCTTTATATAAAGCCCTCACACCTATACAAAAGACCCACGAGTCTATTAATAGGTTTCAAATTTGGTAAAATAAAACAGACCTGGGTCTTGTATATAGCAGTTTACGGTAACTTGGAAGTGCAACAACTCAACTACTTCACTATATTATTATATCTTTTTTTTATTAGTTAATTATACAGCATAATAAACACTTATTATATAATTTGATATTTAGAAATATAGTATCCTTAGCTATGCTTTGAACAATTATACCAAATAATAATAATAATATATACTGTAAATATTATAGTATCTTTTGCTTAAAACTTTAAATACAAAATTATATCTTTAAATACTTTTTAAATTTATTATTTTCAACTAGATAAAATAGTTGATTGTATATAATAGGACCCCAAAATATATATGAAGAGATAAGGTTTTACAAAAATTACTAAATATAGAAAGATCTGCAAAAAAGATCAAAAATAAACAAACTAATTACTATAAATAAAATAATTTATACAAAAAAGATCAAAAATAAGCAAACTAAAACCTAATCTATTTATATATATTTTGGGTTTTTGTATAATAATTTATTATTTAATTATATTATTAAGTTTTTTAATAGGTAATTTACCAGTCACCTGGATAAAAAATTTTTTTTATATATAAATTTTACTATAAGTGCGAATACATAGTGTCTTTATCTAAAACTTTTTTATACTAAGTAAATTACTCTTTGGTTTCTAACAAAAGTTCAAAATATATTTAATACTAAAAGGATATTAAAATTGGCCTGGTAGTTTTTAAGAAATCTTTAAAAAACTTCTTTTTTATATATAAAATTTCTTTAAAAAAATCAAAGAAAATTTATATATAAAAAAGAAGTTTTTTAAAGATTTCTCAAGAACTACCAGGCCAATTTTAATATCCTTCTAGTATTAAATATATTTTGATAAGCTCTACAACTTTTTTTAGAAGCCGAGGAATGATTTACTTAGTATAAAAAAAGTTTTAAATAAAGATGCTATGCATTCGCATTTATAAAAAAAAATTTTTTATCTAATTGACTAGTAAATCGCCTATTAATTAAACTCTTTATACTAATTAATTTGCTAATTATTTTTTATAGTTATTTTTCCATATAATTATCTCTTATATAGTCACAAACTCTATATAATCATACCAAAAATATGATACTGTTTTTTTAATATTAAAAACATCTCTATATAGTCACAATCATATTATAATCACTATCATATTTTTTTAGAATTTGTTGGCTAATTTTAAAAATAAAATTACTTTTTCACAATTATATTTATATGTGATTATAGGTAGTTTCTATATAAAAAAGTTATGATTTTAATAATTAAATCAACTTTTATACAATAAGTAAAGGTGTTTGAAAGAATAAAATACACCTATTGTTAAATTTTTATACAAATTGAATAATTTTTTATTAGTATTATTTTATATTTAGCATATCTATGAATATATAGTAGCTAAAAAATTACAAATTTTTAGCTATATTCGTAAATATGTAAAATAAGAAATATCGGAAATAATGCTAAAATCAGATAATGTTAAAATCCATGTGATATTTGTATCAGCGAATTTTCTAAAATTTCTGATCTTATGTAACTAATCGAATTCAAATGATTTACAATACTGTATTTTTGTAAAGCTATGTATATTTAACCTTATAGAGGCAAAAAACTTTTTTTTGTTAGTAGATAAAAAATTTTACTAAAGCCGCTTAAATCCGTGTTGTCATTTCAATATCATATAACTTCAATGATTTTATTATAATAAAAAAAAGATTTAAATAAACCTTTTTGCTCTTACTATAATTCTAGCCTATCTTATTCTAATTGCAACCCCGAAGTAACGCATTTCCTAAAAAAATTTAAATTTGTTTTTTTTTGTTTTTTTTTTTATTCAAAATTTTTTTTTTTTTATATTTAAATATAAAAAAAAAAATTTAATAGGCAATTCTCCAGTCAACTAAACAAAAATTTTACTATAAGTGCGAATACACCGAGCCTGTATCTAAAACTTTTTTTTATACTAAGTAAATCACTCTTTGGCTTCTAACAAAAGTTGTAGAGCTCATCAAAATGTAT